CCTCACAAGAAGCTCAATTTTGCACTGATTAGGGCGAAAATGAGAATTCCGCCCCAAACTTCCAATACTTCACGATGAATCATGGCAACAAGTACATTGATGACAATCAAAAAGCCAAAGCAATAGCCAAGTACTTCTCTTCGTTTTTCACTGACAACCGAAACACTACTCATATCCACTATTAGCAACCTAATCCCTTCTATGACAAGCGAAAATTCTGATTCATCTACGCGATGTTCTAAGAGTGCTAAAGTCTCTTAAGCGATCAACTTCTTCCACGTATGATGGCATCCCTCAAATCATATACAGAAATTGTTCTTCTTCACTACCAGAACATTTGTCAACACCTTTCAATGTTTCCTTGATGCTAGCAGAGGTTCCGCTTATTTGGGAAAAAGCTATTCTCACTGCAATCTCTAAAACTAATGAGGCAGCTTCATTGTCAAAATTTCGGCCAACAAGTATTACGCCGACACCGGTGAAAGTTTTAGAAAAATTAACAGAAAAACTAGTTGCATGGCTCTTTGGAAATCACCTGTGAAAAACACGATTCGTAACCGAGCATCTACAACCACTCAACTTACCAACTGTATATTTGACTGGAATTTGGCACTGAACAAAGGAAATGCGGTGAAAGAAGTCTACTATTTTGACCTGTCAAAAGCGTTTGACAAAGTCAACCATTCCAAACTCCTGCTCAAATTTGAGCGACTTGATGTTGGTAGACACTACTATAATATATAGGACTCATTCACTTCCCCCCAGCAGGTATATGTGTGTCAAAGTAGGGAATTGCTTTTTCAATCTATACAGTTGCCCTAGTGGAGTTCCACAGGGAGGTGTTTTGCCATCTCTCTCATTTCTAACATATATGTACATATGATATCCCCGGAATATTAAAAACTCACCCTTCAATAAAGTTCAGCTACATGCCGATGACATAAAGATATACGGTATTCATAATAAAGAGCAGCATAAGTACAAATACACCAAGCTCTCTCTCATTCCATTGCTAACATGATGGAATTGGTGCATCGACGTGGGAAATGCCCATCAATCTTTCGAAAACCTGTGTATTTCGCCTTGGCAACATCGTACAGAACACATTCAATGGGACCGTACTAACTTTTTCACACGAAGTACGTTACGTAGGGGTACACCTGAATAAGTATCTAAATTTTAAAAGGTTATGTGAACATTCCTGCCTGTAAAGCTTTGCCACACTTCTCACCATTTGTAGGAATGTCAAATTCAAAGAAGTTTCATAGTAATACGACTTTACAAAACTTTACATTTTACCGATCTTAGAGTATGATGCGCATGATTGAAGCCCAATTACATAAAACCTTCAACGAAATTAGAGAAAGCGCAACAGTCTTCACTAGGATCCTAGTCCAAAGATGTAGCTCAAATGCGATGCCCTGGCAAGATATACCTGTTTACAGTGAAAGGTTAAAGACGTACAAACTAGATAGCTCAATTTTGTAGTTGCTTTGAAATCCTGCAACGGCGAATTCCACCTGAGAACTAGCAAATACTCGCATATTCATGCCTAGGTCAATGGATACGCGACCAAGCCTAGTGGCTCTTTACAACCTATATCATTAATTAATAGAAGCACTAATGATAGACTTGCTTCCGTGAGCAAGATAGGCCAGCAATCTTCAAGGATCACGTCGAACGCCACTACTATCCAAAATAATTTCGCTGTAAGCATTGGCGCAAGCCACTTATTAATTTAGAGTCGCAGCATTGAGCGTTTCTGGGAAGCGTGTAACAAGTTCCGTCATTATCAAGTACCAGATTCTTGCGAGAGCTCTCCCGGTAAAATTGTGATGCTATGAGGCAGAGTACATCTAATATCGTACTTAGTTGCGAGATTCAATCACAAAGGCAGAGGCGTTCGATCTAGAAGGTACAAAAACCCCTAGAAGGTACACACCTGAAGTCGTGTTTCGGGTAGAGAGTTACCTATTAGGCAACCACCCCCTGTGTAAGCGTTGCGGCATGCGTATTCATATTCAGGCATAGATTGAGTTCATTCATATCTTGCATTTTATTACAGACACTTTTCCTCATCACACATTCTTCAACGTTTTACTACAAACAATGCATGTCTTGTCATGAACAAAACATGTACTCCCAAGTTATCTCAATCATGTCGAGAAAGGCCTTTTTCTGTGAAGCGAAACGCATATGCCTGTACACTGTAATACCCAATATTCCTCACACTGTTTCTCATGAATTATTTGTATAATTGGTTACACCCTGGTACAGCGTTTGTGGCACATTTACTGTGGGGCAAATTGAATACAATAAATAAAATCACAGCAAAACAGTCAAGGAATTCAGTTTGTATGGCTGTGCTCGTTCGAAGCCAGTGTTCATTTGTTGACATAGGCTAATGTCGCGTCACAAGGCATCTCGCTGTAATGGACGCACCTAGATACGCCTGCTTACTCTTTGACGTCAGTGTTCAGTTGTTGACGCTGTTGCGTTGATGTTGTGGTTCCGTTTGCCCGAGTGGGTCTGTCGTCGCGAAGGCTCTGGCTGTCGTAGACGCCGCATGAACAGCTGCTCCGTAGTTGAACATTCCAGAGATTCGGCGGTTGATCGTTGGCATCTTTAACGTCGTCCACAGGCTCCTAGGTACCAGATTAATTCACGTATACGCATGTTGGCCGTTAGAAGGCAGATGCGTTACCAAGTGTAACGCCTGAATTGTCGTGTAAGCTCAGACATTCCCTGTTGACAGATTGATCCTACCCTGTCCTCGTGCGCAAAGGGCTCTGCTGTAGTAGAGCGACGCATACGCTGCTGGTAGCCAACACCACTGAATTCAGAATTCGGCGTGCGTTATGGCTCTGAAAGTCGTCGTCCAAGGCTCTGTCGTATTAATCGTCGTATACGCTGTTGCCGTTGAAGGCAGTGGTTCAGTTGTATGCGCTGTTGTCGTTGAAGTCAGCGATTCGGCTGTTGACGTTGGCTCTGTCGTCATCCAAGGCTCTGCAGTAGTAGACGTCGCATACGCTGCTGTAGTTGAATTCAGAGATTCGGCGGTTGACGTTGGCTCTGTCGTCGTCCAAGGCTCTGTCGTATTAATCGTCGTATACGCTGTTGCCGTTGAAGGCAGTGGTTCAGTTGTATGCGCTGTTGTCGTTGAATGCAGAGATTCGGTGGCTGACGTGGGCTCTGTCGTCGTTGAAGGCTCTGCTGTAGTAGACGTCGTATACGCTGCTGTCGTTGAATTCAGAGATTCGGTTGTTGACGTGGGCTCTGTCGTCGTCAAGGCTCTGTTGTATTAATCGTCGTATACGCTGCTGTCGTTGAAGTCAGCGATTCGGTTGTTGACGTGGGCTCTGTCGTCGTCGAAGGCTCTGTTGTATTAATCGTCGTATACGCTGTTGTCGTTGAAGTCAGCGATTCGGTTGTTGACGTGGGCTCTGTCGTCGTCCAAGGCTCTACTGTAGTAGATCGTCGCATACGCTGTTGTCGTTGAAGTCAGCGATTCGGTTGTTGACGTGGGCTCTGTCGTCGTCCAAGGCTCTGCTGTAGTAGACGTCGTATACGCTGCTGTCGTTGAAGTCAGCGATTCGGTTGTTGACGTGGGCTCTGTCGTCGTCCAAGGCTCTGTGTATTAATCGTCGTATACGCTGTTGTCGTTGAAGTCAGAGATTCGGTTGTTGACGTGGGCTCTGTCGTCCAAGGCTCTGTTGTATTAATCGTCGTATACGCTGTTGTCGTTGAATTCAGAGATTCGGTGGTTGACGTGGGCTCTGTCGTCGTCCAAGGCTCTGTCGTATTAATCGTCGCATACGCTGTTGTCGTTGAAGTCAGCGATTCGGTTGTTGACGTGGGCTCTGTCGTCGTCGAAGGCTCTGCTGTAGTAGACGTCGTATACGCTGCTGTCGTTGAAGTCAGAGATTCGGTGGTTGACGTGGGCTCTGTCGTCGTCCAAGGCTCTGTCCGTAATAACTTCGTATAGCATACATTATACTCTTGATATGTCGTTCGCAAGTCAACGATTCGACTTTGACGTGGGCTCTGTCGTCGTCCAGGGCTCTCCTGTAGAAGACGGTTGTAAACCCTGTTGTCGTTGAAGTCAGCGATTCGGTTGTTGACGTGGGCTCTGTCGTCGTCCAAGGCTCTACTGTAGTAGACGTCGTATACGCTGTTGTCGTTGAAGTCAGCGATTCGGTTGTTGACGTGGGCTCTGTCGTCGTCCAAGGCTCTGCTGTAGTAGACGTCGTATACGCTGTTGTCGTTGAAGTCAGCGATTCGGTTGTTGACGTGGGCTCTGTCGTCGTCCAGGGCTCTGCTGTAGTAGACGTCGTATACGCTGTTGTCGTTGAAGTCAGCGATTCGGTTGTTGACGTGGGCTCTGTCGTCGTCCAAGGCTCTGCTGTAGTAGACGTCGTATACGCTGTTGTCGTTGAAGTCAGCGATTCGGTTGTTGACGTGGGCTCTGTCGTCGTCCAAGGCTCTGCTGTAGTAGACGTCGTATACGCTGTTGTCGTTGAAGTCAGCGATTCGGTTGTTGACGTGGGCTCTGTCGTCGTCCAAGGCTCTACTGTAGTAGACGTCGTATACTCTGTTGTCGTTGAAGTCAGCGATTCGGTTGTTGACGTGGGCTCTGTCGTCGTCCAAGGCTCTACTGTAGTAGACGTCGTATACGCTGTTGTCGTTGAAGTCAGCGATTCGGTTGTTGACGTGGGCTCTGTCGTCGTCCAAGGCTCTACTGTAGTAGACGTCGTATACTCTGTTGTCGTTGAAGTCAGCGATTCGGTTGTTGACGTGGGCTCTGTCGTCGTCCAAGGCTCTACTGTAGTAGACGTCGTATACGCTGTTGTCGTTGAAGTCAGCGATTCGGTTGTTGACGTGGGCTCTGTCGTCGTCCAAGGCTCTGCTGTAGTAGACGTCGTATACGCTGTTGTCGTTGAAGTCAGCGATTCGGTTGTTGACGTGGGCTCTGTCGTCGTCCAAGGCTCTGCCTGTAGTAGACGTCGTATACGCTGTTGTCGTTGAAGTCAGCGATTCGGTTGTTGACGTGGGCTCTGTCGTCGTCCAAGGCTCTGCTGTAGTAGACGTCGTATACGCTGTTGTCGTTGAAGTCAGCGATTCGGTTGTTGACGTGGGCTCTGTCGTCGTCCAAGGCTCTACTGTAGTAGACGTCGTATACGCTGTTGTCGTTGAAGTCAGCGATTCGGTTGTTGACGTGGGCTCTGTCGTCGTCCAAGGCTCTGCTGTAGTAGACGTCGTATACGCTGTTGTCGTTGAAGTCAGCGATTCGGTTGTTGACGTGGGCTCTGTCGTCGTCCAGGCTCTCCTGTATAGAAGACGTTGTAAACCCTGTTGTCGTTGAAGTCAGCGATTCGGCTGTTGACGTGGGCTCTGTCGTCGTCCAGGGCTCTCCTGTAGAAGACGTTGTATACCCTGTTGTCGTTGAAGTCAGCGATTCGGTTGTTGACGTGGGCTCTGTCGTCGTCCAGGCTCTCCTGTAGTAGACGTCGTAATACGCTGTTGTCCGTCACGAGACAGTCAGCCGATCTACGGTATATGTCCTGACCCGTGGGCTCCCTGCTGTCGTCATCCAAGGCTCTGCTGTAGTAGACGTCGTATACGCTGTTGTCGTTGAAGTCAGCGATTCGGTTGTTGACGTGGGCTCTGTCGTCGTCCAAGGCTCTGCTGTAGTAGACGTCGTATACGCTGTTGTCGTTGAAGTCAGCGATTCGGTTGTTGACGTGGGCTCTGTCGTCGTCCAAGGCTCTGCTGTAGTAGACGTCGTATACGCTGTTGTCGTTGAAGTCAGCGATTCGGTTGTTGACGTGGGCTCTGTCGTCGTCCAAGGCTCTGCTGTAGTAGACGTCGTATACGCTGTTGTCGTTGAAGTCAGCGATTCGGTTGTTGACGTGGGCTCTGTCGTCGTCCAAGGCTCTACTGTAGTAGACGTCGCATACTCTGTTGTCGTTGAAGTCAGCGATTCGGTTGTTGACGTGGGCTCTGTCGTCGTCCAAGGCTCTACTGTAGCAGACGTCGTAAACGCTGCTATGAGATTGAACCGCTCAGAATATCGTTTGTTGACCGTGGGCTCTGTCCGTCGTCCAAGCTTACTACTAGTAAAGTAGCGATACGCATAACTCTGATTGATACGATATGAAGTACCGCCACTACCACTCGATTAGTTGAACCCGTGCAGCGACTATAGAGAAGTCGTCCAAGGCCTCTACCTGTACAATAGACGTCCCGCAATAACCCTGCTATGTCTTAAACGTAGCGAGATCCGTTGTATAGACGTAGGGAGACATCTGTAAAATGTCCAAGGCTCTACTGTAGTAACGTACCCCGATGTCTGCCATACTCTGTTGTCGTTGAAGTCAGCGATTCGGTTGTTGACGTGGGCTCTGTCGTCGTCCAAGGCTCTCCTGTAGTAGACGTCGTATACGCTGTTGTCGTTGAAGTCAGCGATTCGGTTGTTGACGTGGGCTCTGTCGTCGTCCAAGGCTCTACTGTAGTAGACGTCGTATACTCTGTTGTCGTTGAAGTCAGCGATTCGGTTGTTGACGTGGGCTGTCTGTCGTCGTCCAAGGCTCTACTGTAGTAGACGTCGCATACTCTGTTGTCGTTGAAGTCAGCGATTCGGTTGTTGACGTGGGCTCTGTCGTCGTCCAAGGCTCTACTGTAGTAGACGTCGTCTACCTCTGTTGTCGTTGAAGGTCAGCGTGATTTGACTTTGACGTGGGCTCTGTCGTCGTCCAGGGCTCTCCTGTAGAAGACGTTGTAAACCCTGTTGTCGTTGAAGTCAGCAATTCGGCTGTTGACGTGGGCGCTGTCGTCGTCCAGGGCTCTCCTGTAGAAGACGTTGTATACCCTGTTGTCGTTGAAGTCAGCGATTCGGTTGTTGACGTGGGCTCTGTCGTCGTCCAAGGCTCTACTGTAGTAGACGTCGTATACTCTGTTGTCGTTGAAGTCAGCGATTCGGTTGTTGACGTGGGCTCTGTCGTCGTCCAAGGCTCTACTGTAGTAGACGTCGTATACTCTGTTGTCGTTGAAGTCAGCGATTCGGTTGTTGACGTGGGCTCTGTCGTCGTCCAGGGCTCTCCTGTAGTAGACGTCGTATACTCTGTTGTCGTTGAAGTCAGCGATTCGGCTGTTGACGTGGGCTCTGTCGTCGTCCAAGGGCTCTACTGTAGTAGACGTCGTATACTCTGTTGTCGTTGAAGTCAGCGATTCGGTTGTTGACGTGGGCTCTGTCGTCGTCCAAGGCTCTACTGTAGTAGACGTCGTATACGCTGCTGTCGTTGAAGTCAGCGATTCGGTTGTTGACGTGGGCTCTGTCGTCGTCCAAGGCTCTACTGTAGTAGACGTCGTATACGCTGTTGTCGTTGAAGTCAGCGATTCGGTTGTTGACGTGGGCTCTGTCGTCGTCCGAAGGCTCTGCTGTAGTAGACGTCGTATACGCTGCTGTCGTTGAAGTCAGCGATTCGGTTGTTGACGTGGGCTCTGTCGTCGTCCAGGGCTCTGCCTGTAGAAGACGTCGTATACCCTGTTGTCGTTGAAGTCAGCGATTCGGTTGTTGACGTGGGCTCTGTCGTCGTCCGAAGGCTCTGCTGTAGTAGATCGTCGTATACGCTGCTGTCGTTGAAGTCAGCGATTCGGTTGTTGACGTGGGCTCTGTCGTCGTCGAAGGCTCTGTTGTATTAATCGTCGTATACGCTGTTGTCGTTGAAGTCAGCGATTCGGCTGTTGACGTGGGCTCTTTCGTCGTCCAGGGCTCTGCCGTAGTAGACCGTCATCTGCGCTGTTGTCGTTGAAGTCAGCGGTTCAGATGAAAATGGTCCTTCCGTTTTCGTC